CTGAAATGGATCTGACGACAGAAGAACGCCAAGAACTATTGAATGAAGAACACCAAGAAACTCGGCGAGATATGTTTTCTTCTGAAAAAGAGGATTAATGCCGATATCTGTTATTAAAGATCCTTTGAAGAAGTGGGAGGATGTCAGAACAACGGTCTTAGAATGGCATCTAAACCAGGTTGAGGCTTGGGGATTTCTACAATTGCAATTACTTACGAAAAATCCTGAAGAAGAGAGAAAAGCAATCGACATTAGACAGATTCTTTAATGCTTTCAAACGGAAAAAATATGACTAATAAAAACACAAGACTGTGTATGGATGTATTTTTATTATTACATATAAATAAACGTAGTAAGAAAGTATATATTTTTTATTTTTGGGGGTCTCCGGAACGAATTAATTAAATTACCATTAAAACCTATGGTAAATCGATAATCGGTTAACGAACAATTCGGATAGCGAACAAAGTCTTGGAACGGATTATGTTCGTTAACCGATCACCCACTGTATATCTTTTTCTGCTTATGTACTTTTGAAAAGTTTATTTATTTCTTATAAAAATTAAATAATAGCCTTATAACTGTGGGTAGGCCCCTTTTTGTCTTTTGACAACCAATATACAGTATTTAGATCCAGTCCACTACTGTCTATGATACACGGTTTTCAAAAAAACAAAAAAAAGTATGACGTTACATCCAGTACACGGAAAATAAGCTTTATTGGAAACATGAACATCGATACTTTCATATGATATTATGCTTACATAGGAAGATGCTCAAAATGACCACTGCACAAGCTGTAGAATGGCTGACGGCACACCATCCAGCATTGGGTTGGCCACAAAAGTGAATGCAGCATGAAGACGAGCAAGCAAGATCTTGTGCAGTCAGACAGTCTACGGCATGTGCATGCATGTCTTGATATGTTCGGTGGTCATTTTGAGCATCTCCTATGTAAGCATAATATCAAATGAAAGTATCGATGCTCGTGTTTGCAATAAAGCTTATTTTCTGTGCACACCAAATGTGATGTCACATTTTTTTTCTTTCTCATTTTCAAAAACTATAGGTTGTAGAAGTATAGCTCTTGAATCATGTTTTATATATCCTGAGCGAGGATTCTTGTTCTGTTCAGTTTATGCAGTCTTGGAGGGACACCCTGTATAATAAAAGTTAGGCTTTATTATAACTTAGTAAAATAAACAGATTATTTACACAAGTTTATTAATCAGATTCTTTTACTGAGAGACAGACTCCTATATATCCAGGTCAATGCATGAAAATTTCTGATTGACTTGGGATGAACTGAGCCCTTCAGAACAAGCACACGAGGTAATTGTATATTAAAATTACATAAGCAACAGTTTATTTTACAAAAATTTAATCAGTTGTTAGACAAATCCTGTTTGCTCTTAGTTACACATTTATAACTAATTACTATGAAATTTTTATTTACATATGCTTAACTATGCAATACTTATTTATATACTGTAATAATGCAGTAAACTTAAATTACCACAAAGTATGAACGGGATGACATCAAAGGAATTGACTGGGGTATCCAGATTGTATGATCGCCTATTTTCCACCGGATCCTAGAGAGCAACTATAGAAAATTTCATCCAGATGCTTTAATGTTTGTCATTACTTTCTTCCCCATATTGCCCAGACAAAGAGTATTGGTAAATCTCTTTGGATAGCTTTGAATAGAGATACTTAAATTATGAGTGATCATAATAATTAATTTTAAAATAAATTATAAATATCTTATAGATATTTAAATATTCTAGTTAGTTTTTCATTGCCAGAAACATTACAGATCTGTTCTGAATTTTAATTTTTAAAAATNTATATTATTTATTTTTTCAGCTGTAAAAATCTTGTTTAAATTGATTCTCATTTGAATGTTGAGTTATATGGGAAATATATTCAAAATTGTTACATTTATAATATAAGCAACTAATAAAAATCAATGCAGGGATTTGTCTGCTTTGTAGTTATCAAGTAGGTGTAACTTTTCAAACATTTTTGCTTTTTTCAGTAACTAATTTATTAAAAATTACACTTTAGATACCAAAATGCTGTTAAAACAGTAACAACAACAATGTTTGCTTGGTGAAAGTTCAAAGATCATGCTACAAAGGCAATTTGCTGACCACTTTAAAGTGTGGGAAGATATTCAGTTTTCTCGCATTTATGACATCATTTATGATCTTAAGTTTCTTTTTCATTACTAGTATACTACAGTTCTTGTCAAATGAATAAATAACTGAAAAAATTTATAGTTTTTTTTGGTATCATAAGCTTAATTCCAACAATAAGACATAACATTAATATGTATGGGAATAAATGGTAATTGACAACTTAACCAGATAACTTCTCTAACAGATAAAGAATATTGTTTGACTTCTTATAACCTGCCCTCCTCCCCTATTCCTATTTTAAGCCAGTCTTTATTCAACATCTACAGTTAAAATTTGTTGTCTGAAAAAGTATTTTAATCAATTCTTTGTTTTCATTTAGAATATTTTGTACATTATTGATTCTTTCAGAATATTAAAGACAAGACATTGCATTTTCATAAGATTAGTTATGGACAATGGCATCAATTATTTAGAGGTAAATATAATAGATGTCCTATTTGATGAGTCTAGGGGATTGTAAAAATATCTGTTAAGTAGAGGTGTCGGCTATTTGGAAGTGTCTGTTAATGAAGGTCTTACTGTATTTTTAATTATAAATAACTGTGTACAATAATAACTGTTACTCTAAGAACTAACCTAGCTATTAGTTATCAGGGATGTAACAGTCTTTATACAAATATATTTTAAAAATAAACCTATTTTTATAATATTCACAATGCATTTAACAATCTCTTCCACACCAGAGTGCTGCATTCACCGTTTGAGAATCATTGATTTAGGGAATACCAAAGCAATTATAACAAGTGGATTTTATTATATTTATCTATTTTTAAAAGAAAAAATACTTACCTCTTCATCTTCACCATCAACAAAAGTTTCATCTGGTTCTCTGGTATTTTCAATTGTCCTTGGTTCTTGTTTTGGAGGTGCCTTTAGAAGTTAAAAAACATTTATTTTTAAAAGTTAGAACTATTTTCAATAATAATAAATAATAATAATAATTCTTTCTCGGGTAAGCAGATTACAAAGTTCTGTGCATCCACACAAACACAATTATGAGTAAATCATCTATTAGACATTGCATACATTTATTCCAATGACAATCAAATGTAGTTTGACATAGACAAAAGCAAAACATTCACACAAAAAACAAATTTTGAAGAATAATGATTATATACTGTATTTGAAAATGAAGACATCAGTGAATCTGTGAATGATGTCAAAGTCTACAAATACTTAGGATTTTACACAAACATTAACAAAACATAATTAACACCATCCTAGATTGGCCATTTGTTATCTTAATTGCTTAGCCATCCAACCATCTTAAATCTATGATGGCTGGATGGCCAAGCAATTAAGATAAAACAACATGGGATCAAATCCTAATGGGTTGAAAAACCACAGTAATTTTTTGGGAGGTGGTCCATCCAGATATGCCAGGACCCATCCCTCACCACCCAGCTGCTTGGTAAATACTATAAACACACCACAAGTTTATCGTTGACTTCATNCCTCTGGCTCTTTCTTTTAATTAGTAGTTATTATGAGAGTGAAGTTTGCATTTAAATCAATAATTATAACAGTATATTATATACTTTTTTTGAATAAGCTTTATCTAAATATTTATCCAAAAACCGATTTTATAATTCTTTAAGTGTGCTCATTACAACCATATTTTGCAGATATTGAAAGAAAACATTATTATTTCTTTTAAAATTAAAACTTTTATTATACATCTTACTTGTAAACTTTTTATTTTACAAGAAAAATCTTCTCCTACTTGTTTCCATTTCATGTCTCTGTAAATAAATAAAATTTCAATTTAATATTTACTATTTGATATAAAAACTTTTAAATGCGTATTTTATTTTATTTAAAAAAAAAATCTATCAAAATATAAGACAGACTATAAAATGAACTGAACTGATTATTTTTATGTTAAAAGTTTTCTTTTTAACACTTTTGACTTATGTGTAAATGAACTACATTGATATATAGTAGAATATCAATATTTTCACATTTTGCATATATGTGATTCAGTATTTGCAAACTAAAATTTGTTTACTTACAGAAGGATTTAATGAAAATGACTAAACAATGAATAAAGTGAAAAATTAAATGATTTTTGATGGTTTATCTTAAACATACTCTACCACAATTCACACTTTTGACTAGTAAATCATTTTAGTAAATTTTCTTAAGTTGCATTATTTTAGCACATACAATTATTCAAGTAGCTCTTAAATGACATCCCCAAGGTTGCAAAATTTTATATCATCAATGTTTAAAAATATACATTTAATTAATAGATATAGAATTTATAATGAATCATTTCTTGAAAAATTGTAGTTATTTAGTTTATCACAGCCTTAAAGCTCACTACTAATTTTATCTTTACTTTTTAGTAACTCATTACTTATTTTGAGATATTTTTTAGTATTTGTTTTAAACATTAGATTTTTTGAAAAGCCAATGATACATAATAACAATGAAAAAGACCAATATAAAAAATTATTAGATGAGAAGCATTGTATATTTGTTTAAAATGTACAGCAAATAATTGTTTATTTTAAATTAATATTTNTTAATAGATATAGAATTTATAATGAATCATTTCTTGAAAAATTATAGTTATTTAGTTTATCACAGTCTTAAAGCTCACTACTAGTTTTATCTTTGCTTTTTTAGTAACTCATTACTTATTTTGAGATATTTTTTAGTATTTGCTTAAACATTAGATTTTTTGAAAAGCCATTTAACATGGCTTTTCAAAAGTCATTTAACATGAAAAGTCATTTAACATGGCTTTTCAAAAAATCTAATGTTTAATAATGATGAAAAAGACCAATATAAAAAATTATTAGATGAAAAGCAATGTATATTTGTTTAAAATGTACAGCAAATAATTGTTTATTTTAAATTAATATTTATTATTTAAAGTTCAAACTATCCAAATGAAGTGGGTAGGCTCTTTTTTGTCTTCTGACAACCAATATTTTTAGATCCAGTCTGCTACTGTCTATGACACATAGTTTTAAAAAAGAATGCAAAAGAAAAAGTATGACATTACATCCAGTACATGGAAAATAAG